CAAAGTGCCAGACTTATTTTGAAAACATTTTAAAATGCTTATTTCAGACCTGCATCTGACACCACTTGTAACCGCGCGCGGGGGGATGTATGGTGCACGACGGTGTGGCCTCTGAATAATTGAAAACGATTTAACACAGTTGTTCATACTTTTAGCAGCTCTTTTTATTCCACAGCTGACCTGCTAAAAATGACAGATTTTCTTTTCTGGATCTCTGACAGACGGACTTCAATCTCTGAACTCGCAATGTTCTTTTTAGTTTTTGCTGTCATTTTTCATGAATGGACACTTCCTTGTATCTGAGGTAGGAAACATGGCCTTATTTGGTGTTTTTGGGGTGGTAATTATGTTAATCTCTCGCGTGCACGAGCAGCTGGATACAAACAGGTGGAATTTACGCAGCTCATTTACACCCTTTTCCTGAAGATAGAAGAGTTTGTTGAATCTGACGTGACATGTTCGTACGAAACCTTTGTACGAACAAATGAAAGAGAAATTTAGGAGAAGAATACGAACATGTTCTTGCATGAGGCCCATTGTGAGCAAGAGCATGTAACTCAACTAACCGCAGACCATACTGGTATGAAAAAGATCAATATTGCACAACCCTACTCCAAACAGAGGTTGTTTAAGGGCTAACTGCAACAGGTGGGATACTAATTGTTTCTAACCTTTCCAGAGAATTCCTCTTCCAAAAATCTAAAATATTGATTTAAAGCCCAGACCAGTATATCCAAAGGACTTAAAGTTATCTTTGATGAAATGAAATTTAAGAAACCTCAAAAACCTGAAGCTGTGTTGTCAAGAGCAATGGGCCAAAGTGCCTCCACAACAGTATAAGAGACTAAGGCCATGCAGAGGGCTATTTGTTAAAGTTACTGCTACTATAGCCAAGATATGTTGTATCACTTGTCTTGCAAGGCAGAATAGTGAATAATTCAAATGTACATTGAAACATAATCAATTCTCCAAGCTAGACTTATATTTCTCTAGACTGTGAGTCGAGCTGCCACGTATTTTTGTCATCGGTCATGGGAAGGAATATAGCACATTTATCATTTGACCAGAAGCCCATTTGATCAAGCTTGACCACAGTTTCAGAGAATATAGAGTGTGAACAGGAGCAGCGAAACATTTTAGTGCATATGTTATCTGCTATCTACAGGGCCCCTGTGCTCCCACGCCCCAGCTGGAGCCAAATGTTTATCATCCACTTGTAAAAATATTGTCCTTGTACGAGGTTTTCAGGCACTTTTTTTCTTTGCGCTTTCTGTTTACATCCACAATCCCTCTCTGCATTTCATTTCCAAATTGCACATTGGCAGTTGATTTGTTGGCGTGGGTTAGAAACACAATAATTCGACATCCATTTGAACATCCAAATCATCATTGTTCATTTGTTTTGTGTGCAACTTAACAGAGAGGCTTGGGTGCATGTTTATTTTTTTTTCTATTGAGCAAGTGGAATATTGTTTCTTTAAAAAAAAGGTTTATGATGGCAGTCATCAAAGCATCATTTAAACTCCAAACAAAACAAAAGCCATCGGTGTTAAAACACGTCTGACTGAGCCAAAACCGCCGCAGCAACTTTTTAATCTCTTGTGTGTGCTTTTAAATTGTTTTGCAAGTGCAAAACACTTCATGATTTCTGTGTATGAGTCTGTGTGGGAGTTTTACACAGAGAGAGGGGAGCGAGAGCAGGTGCAATAACACGGGGGGGACATGAGGGGCAGCCAAATACAACAACCACAGGTCACCTGGGATCACAGGCTAGCCGGTCTCCCATGACTCCTCATGCCAAACCACCCGTGGATGATTATTGAAACCTCCTGTGCAGCTCTGCAGCACTGGCCCACATGACCTACTGATGCACCGAGAAGGCATCGTCACCGCGTACCATTTTGTAGTCACTCCACCCGCGATGGAAATCGATAGAGCCATTTCTCCGATGCTGCAGCACCGTCCACCCCCCACCTTTGGTCTTCATGTCACAAAACACCTGAAAGTAAAAGAAAAAGTAGATTCAAGTTTTAGTCATTTGACTGGAAGAAGAGGGTGAGACAAAAGACACAGCATACTCTTATTTTGGGGGAAAAAATGACTGGTCCAATATAGCAGCTTAAGAGATTCAATTCAAATTCAAATTCAAAAATACTTTATTGATCCCAGAGGGAAATTGGGTGTTGTTGTAACTAATTTAACTAAAAACTTATTGTAGATGCTGATGGCTGTGGGCAGGAAAGATCTTCTGTAGCGGTCTGTATTACAGCGAAGTTGAAGAAGCCTCCGACTGAAGACACTTTGTCTTTCTATGACAGTCTGATGAAAAGCATGGTCAGGGTTGTCCAC